CTGAAAGGTGTTGCTTCTCTAAGATGCAGATGGCGTTTGAGGAGGTGGCTGTGGATTTCACGGAGGAAGAGTGGGTCTTCCTGAATGCCAATGAAAGAACCCTCTACTGGGATGTCATGCAGGAGAACTATGAGCATGTAATTTCAGTGGGTAAGCCGTTCCCCTTTTCTTGCCTTCTGTGTGAATTAAAGCTTGGATCGCTAATACATACAGGCTCCTTGTAGCGATATAATGACACCCAGTCCTCTTCTTGGTTGAAAAGAAATATAATTCCTTGTTAATCTGAATATACTAAAATAATCACAGCTGTACATTACTTTTAATATATAGTTCACTTCATCCTCTACCAAAGTTAAAGAAAAACAATGGGTATGAACCCATCAGTGCATGTTTAAGTCTCACTGGTGACAGTTGTATAAACAGTCATCCTTATGGTGATGCTTTCTGGAAAGGACTGTTTTTTTTTTAAAGATGGCTTAAATTGATTTAATTAAGGAAGAACATGCAGAAGATGTTTGTTTGTTTAAAATATTTTTTACTCTGCCTTTCTTCTTAAAAGGGATCCAAGGCAGCTTTCACCATTAAAAGACAATAGTTACAAGCTAATAACAGTAACTATATGATGCTATAAATACCAGAATAAAAATGGTAAACAAAACCAATGCCAGAAACAAAGCCAAAGCAAAATGAACACCAAAAACAGTTTCAAAGCAATAAGGCACAAAAATTCATTTAACACCCCCCCACAGTTCAGCAAATCACTAAAGAGAAATATCTTTATCTGTTTGCAGAAGGCCAGCCAAGATGGGGCCAGCCTGGCTCCCTGTGGGAGGGAATTCTGGAATCCGGGATTAGTGACAGAGAAGGGCTCTCCTCTTTTCTCACCACTTTACCTCTCCTCACACTGATATTAGGGATATTGAAAATTCATTTTCTATTGCTAGGTTGTGCTCAGTGTTTTTGGTTTTTTAAAACAATTATTTCATTTGTACCACCAAGATAAGTCACAATTACACCAGTTTCCCAGGTGGAGAACTGACAAACTAAAATGTAGAAATTTCTCAAGATCATCCAGTCAGGTGTCCTCAGTGAGGTGGGATCTAAACTCAGAACCAAATCCAATTCGGGAGCATATTGTATCTATATTTCTTGAGTCTCCAGTACAGTATGTGGAGATTTTAGTATGTGTTTGCTCCTGATGAGTCTAAGAGAAGTTGGACTATACAGTGTTTGTGCATACAAGTGGACAAACTCACCAGTAAAGTAATTGTATGTGAATGTGCGGGGAAGAGAGGCTGATTTGCTAACATCACAACATTGCCCTCTTTTGCTGCCATTCTTACACAGAAGAGGGTTGCTTGCACTGGGAAACACCATTTGACTGGGTGCAAAAAACCTGTCAGCCACAGCTTTGTGATTGAAACCTGGTCCTCTCTTTGTCTGCATAGCCCATATGGTTTCAGGGTTTTTGTCTCATTTTTGTAGAAGAGGCTCTTTGATTATAGACTCTGTCTCGCTACTTTATGTGGGAGCACCTTTACGTGTAGAGCACCTCCAACTGTACATTGGACGGGGCCATTAGTATCCTTCTTTTAAAAGCTGCCTCCATTCTCTGGGCTAGACTTAGGGAGACCAGGTATGAGTGTTGGGTTTAAGGTGCATTAAGGGATTTCTTGAGAAGGAAGAAAAGTGGGGGAGGGTTCATATCACGAGGCACAACTAATCTTTCTTCTGAAATCTCCAGGTGTGTTCCTTGTCTTGGCAGAGAGAAACCACTCATCTCACCTGCCTTTGGCATCATCCTGTTCCAGCATGAAAGGGCTTTCACAGGTGAGATTTATTTTTAGTGGGAAAGGATTGTTCTGAGGGAGGGTAAGAGTCTCACCAGCAGTAAAAGGTAATGATATTTAAATAAATGCTCTTGGTAGCATTTTTATGGAGTGTGCCTGCTTCGGTTGCATTGATTGCATGCATTAAGTTGCCAGATCAATTAGTTTAGCCAGGAGCCTCCTTCCACCGATGCTGCATTCTCTGTGTGTCAGAGAATCTCTTAAGTGCGGGGGATCATTTCGGCACCTCCGGTGGTATTGCAAAAAAGTTGGCCAGTTTTGGGAAGAGGGGTTTAATGACATAAACAAAATTACAAATCATTCAGTTTGCAAATCCCTGGAATGTGCACTTCTTACCCTTTTCTTAGGGAAGAATGAGTCTCTTTTACACAAACCCTTAACAGGCCATCTTTTAGTTGCAACAAAACAGAAGGTGGAAAGACATGCAGGGAGTAGGAAAAACATGCAGCTTGGGACTCTACAGCTACCATTTTCAGCCTTTGTTTGGCCATGGCCTTAAACACAATATGAAAGGAATATAGACTGAATATATAAGTCACCTAACACATCTTATCAGGTGGTGTGTGAAGAACTGTTTCCAGCGTGTTTCAAATGCCAGGGCCACCCGGGGGAACCATATGGGTCCATAGAGAATGGCTGCTCCAGAGTGTGACAGGTAACATTACAGGAAATATTAACCCCTAAACTACATATAGCTAAAGGGATAAAACATTTGGATGCTTTTGCAATAGACTGACACCTTTTTATCATTTATATGAGTGGACTAGATAGTAAGGGACATAGAGGATTTTTTTGGATTTTATAATATACTTCAATATAACAATACTTTTTCCAGGAAAGCCTCATAACAATTTGGATATGACTCTTGACATACCCAGATTCTTATGACATAAGATCAGACAGAACTTCCTCATTATTGATCTTCTGGGCTGAAGGATGTGTGGCTGCACCATTGACCTCAGTCAGATCACAGAACATTTGCAGAGCTTGGAGAAGTTGGGATTTTTTTAAAAAATACTGTACAATTCAACTCCTGGGATCTCTAGCTAGCATGGCTGCTGGCTAAGGAACTCTGGGAGTCCCAGTCCATAACATGCATGAAACAGATTTTCCAGACTCCTGACATTTTTCAAGTGTATCGTGATGATTTGTCCTAATGCCCCAGGAATAGTTTCAGGTTCAAGCTGCAAAATTATGTTTTGGGTGTATTTTAAGAATTAATGCTGTTATGTTTCTAAGCTGCAGGTGACGTTTGGGGAGGTGGCTGTGTATTTCACGGAGCCCGAGTGGGCTCTGCTGGATGGGGATGAAAGAGCTCTGTACTGGGATGTCATGCAGCAGAATTACGAGCACCTGACTTTCCTTGGTAAGCATTCTCACCGCCGTTGCCTCATGGGCTTTCAGGGGCAGCTCGGCTCCTTTTAAAAGGGTCAGGGAGTCCTTAGTTTAAAAGAAACACAAACAAACCAGGATTCCTTGATACTTCTAATGTTATCAAGCAATCGGGAGGTAAACATGCATGATGTTCGCATGTTGCTATCCAGCATGTGGACTTGCAAGAAATATATGAAGCAAAACCACCACCACCCCACCCCATTAGACATCTGCGGAGAGTTTCTGCTGCCATGCTTCATAGATATCTCCGCTGCATTTGGTTGGGATGCCGAGAGGGTCCTTCTGGGGTTGTTTCATGTCAGGCAGGAAGTTACAAATGAACAAGGGTCAGGACCAGACTCACAATCTGGAGATAGTTTGCAGAACCAGATGTGGACTCAATACAAGAAGCAAGGTTATCTGAACTGCAGGTATCTGGGGGTGTTCCAGTGGTTATTTAGCTTTCTAGGGGCTACACAAGACTTGAGGGTGGTGCAAAGACATGGGTGCAGCATGTCCAGACATTTAAAGGTGCTCTCAAAGGAGAGCTGCAGGCCATCAGCGTTACCTGTAGAGTTGATCTCCTTATAAGGAGACCTTCATCAGGCAGGTAAATTTCCGTCTGGTGGTCAATTGATCCTGCTTCTTTTAGTTCGCTCCTTTGTTCTTTGGAGCAAGGATAGTCACTCAACATGCCACCTAGAAATCAGAAAGGTGCTACCCGCATCTTGAGCTCTTTTGTCCCCCATGAACCTGGATCTCCCCAGAAAATCGCTTTGCAGTGATTTTTGCTGCACGGATTATCATCGCTATGCGAGGCACCACTGTAATCTGAAGTCTAACTGCAGGTATCTGGGGGTGTTATTTAGCTTTCTAGGGGCTACACAACACTTGAGGGTGATACAAAGATATGGGTGCAGCACTCTGTGAAGGGAAGGTATAAGTCCAGGTATTTAAAGGTGCTCTCAAAGGAGAGCTGCAGGCCATCAGCGTTACCTGTAGAGTTGATCTCCTTATAAGGAGACCTTCATCAGGCAGGTAAATTTCCGTCTGGTGGTCAATTGATCCTGCTTCTTTTAGTTCGCTCCTTTGTTCTTTGGAGCAAGGATAGTCACTCAACATGCCACCTAGAAATCAGAAAGGTGCTACCCGCATCTTGAGCTCTTTTGTCCCCCATGAACCTGGATCTCCCCAGCCGGCTTCAAGGTCTTGTGACAGGGACTGTTTCTCCAAGATATATTGGCTCAGGAAGCTTGGCATTCCTCTGGTGGGGGCTTGACAACTGTGCCAAGGCTGTGGAACTCCCTCCATAGTGAGATCTACCCAAGCTTGGAAAAGTTACATTTTGAGCCTGCACAAATCATTGGATTCTGGTAACCCTGAAAAGTGACTTCTCCAAGCTTGGCCTCTGCCTTCTGATGGCCTTTTTGTCATAGTGTGAAATCTTCTCTTTTGTGACCAGCATTTTGTCTAGTGTGCTTTTATATTATTATTATTGGTGCCACCATTTGATCTGAGTTTCTTGTGTTTGCTGGATAAATAAATAAACTTAATAAGCTTTATTATACTTTACAAGGAGACCTTCATCAGGCAGGTAAATTTCCATCTGGCAGTCAATTGATCCTGCTTCTTTTAGTTTGCTCCTTTGTTCTTTGGAGCAAAGATAGTCACTCAGCATCCCACCTAGAAATCAGAAAGGTGCTACCCGCATCTTGAGCTCTTTTGTCCCCCATGAACCTGGATCTCCCCAGCCGGCTTCAAGGTCTTGTGACAGGGACTGTTTCTCCAAGATATTTTGGCTCAGGAAGCTTGGCATTCCTCTGGTGGGGGCTTGACAACTGTGCCAAGGCTGTGGAACTCCCTCCATAGTGAGATCTACTCAAGCTTGGAAAAGTTACATTTTGAGCCTGCACAAATCATTGGATTCTGGTAACCCTGAAAAGTGACTTCTCCAAGCTTGGCCTCTGCCTTCTGATGGCCTTTTTGTCATAGTGTGAAATCTTCTCTTTTGTGACCAGCATTTTGTCTAGTGTGCTTTTATATTATTATTATTGGTGCCACCATCTGATCTGAGTTTCTTGTGTTTGCTGGATAAATAAATAAACTTAATAAGCTTTATTATACTTAAATAAAGCAGTTTTCCTCTTCTGCTTTTTCAGTTGTTCCTTACACACTGCTTTAAGTTTGCAATGCTTCTTCACAGGTGGCATGTTCCAACAAGGAAACAGTAAGACGACAGTATTGTGCAGAATATTGTTTGGTGGCTCCCAAGATGAGGACTCCCTGGGCTCCAGTTCCATAGTGAGATCTACTCAAGCTTGGAAAAGTTACATTTTGAGCCGGCACAAATCATTGGATTCTGGTAACCCTGAAAAGTGACGTCTCCAAGCTTGGCCTCTGCCTTCTGATGGCCTTTTTGTCACAGTGTGAAATCTTCTCTTTTGTGACCAGCATTTTGTCTAGTGTGCTTTTATATTATTATTATTGGTCCCACCATTTGATCTGAGTTTCTTGTGTTTGCTGGATAAATAAATAAACTTAATGAGCTTTATTACACTTAATAAATAAAGCAGTTTTCCTCTTCTGCTTTTTCAGTTGTTCCTTACACACTGCCTTAAGTTTGCAATGCTTCTTCACAGGTGGCATGTTCCAACCAGGAAACAGTAAGACGACAGTATTGTGCAGAGTATTGTTTGGTGGCTCCCAAGATGAGGACTCCCTGGGCTCCAGTGCTTTTAAAAATGGGCACGACTCACAATGCCAGAAAGACAAGCTGCCACCAGAGAGGCCTAGTGAAACTCCTCAGTTAAGAGGAAGCATCAAGCCTGCAAAGTGTCTTCCCGCTGATGCAGGACAGAGGAAAGACTGTTGTCCTAAGTGTGGAAGAACCTTCTGTCATAAATCTGCCCTCAATGCACACCTGAGGATTCACACAGGAGAGAAACCGTATCTGTGCCAGGAATGTGGGAAAACCTTCAATCAGAGTTCAGCCCTGACCCAACATCAGAGAATCCACACCGGTGAAAAACCCTATGCCTGCCCCCACTGTGAGAAAAGATTCAGCCAAAGCTCAGCTCTGACTCAGCATCAGAGAATCCACACCGGCGAGAGAGCCTACACGTGTCTTGACTGCGGGAAGAGCTTCATTTACCAATCAGCTCTGATTCGGCATCGGAGAATCCACACAGGAGAAAAATGCTACAAGTGCCCTGACTGTGGAAAAGGCTTCAACCAGAGTTCCAACCTTATTACACACCGGAAGATTCATAACGGTAAGGAAGTCTTTCCGTTCCTGTCCGATCATCCCATTCCATCCCACTGGCCTGTTAGTAATCTTGTTTTGATCCTTGGTTACGAAAAACAAGTGTATTTTCATTCTAATCTTTTCTCATCACATTTGGATAAAGCTACTCTGATTGGTTGGACAGCGTCATTGAAGCAACCAACATGAATTTGACCCAACTCCGGGAGGCAGTGGAAGATAGGAGGGCCTGGCGTGCTCTGGTCCATGGGGTCACAAAGAGTTGGACACGACTAAACAAAAGTCTGATTGTCCCCATTTTATAAACTGTGGACAAGAAAATAAGTCACCAGGCGAAGGCCGCCCCACGGCCAAGCTGACCAGATGAAGCAGGTGTTTTCCTACCACTTATAACCAGGGCACACCTTTAGCCTCTTAATGAGCATACTGCATCACCTCTCTGCTACTGATATCTAAACGAGTAATTTTCTACATTTATTCTGGTATTAAAGGTTGTGGCTAAATCTGGTTAGATCACAGGGTCATTCGTTTACTTCTTATTACTGAACTCAACGATCTCACATCATAATAACATGATCACGGTTTTATATTGCTCTGTCAAAGATTTAAAGCATTACACAGGAATTATCTTATTTAATTTTTTACATCTACTGTACTTTGAAAGGTTTGTAAACATTATTTGCAGCTAAAGCAGAGATTTTCTAAGTCTGTGTACTGGACTTGTTTTGTGCAAAGATTAGGAAAGTTGTTTGTTTGTTACTGTGACATTCATTCAACCTGGCTAGTGTGGCCATACTGGCTGAAGCACCAAACTTCCAAGTCTAATGTTGTGGTGCGAACTCAAATGGGAATTTTCTGGGCCCTATTTTTGGCTATAATCTGCTATTAAGGGACTTCAGGAGTTCCAGGCGAGTGGTCTGGGAAGTCCTTTCATGTGGCTGATCTATGCTCCATGTTATTTGTTTGGATATAATAGTCATGATTTGGTCCTATGGAACTAGAGATATTTGGCAGGAAAAAGGAAACTGCCATATACGTGGCCAGATAGTTTGCCTGTCTAGGCCAGTATTGTCTGCTTTGGCTGGCAGCAGGCCTTGGGAAGATGTCTTCCCCATTACCTGCTTCAGTTCCTTTAACTGATATTGCCAAGGATTGAATCTCAGACCTTCAGGATGCAAAGTGTGTGCTCTGCTACTGCGCGGTGGTCTCTCCTCACAAGTCGGCAGTGTGGACCAATTGATAATTGTCTGCAACCTTATTGTAATGCTCAGATACCTTTCTGTCTACCACTGTTTTAAAGATCTGCAGTTTTCACCCTATCAGTGTATATTCTTTTCTTTCTGCTTTTTCTCTTACTCTGCAGTTAATGGGACACTTTGTGGGAGAGAGAAGAAGAAACCTCAGCAAGAATGCTCTGAGCCACTGGAACCACATGGAAAAGTTTGTAGGACATCGCAACAGATCAGTCTTCAACTAGAAAAAGATCATCATCAGATTCAGGGAAATCCTTCAGAGCAAGTTCAGGATCCACCTGTTCCTTGTGCTGGAAGTTTCATATCTCAGAAGAACACCTCGATAAAAACAGGAGTCCCTAGGGTTAAAAGGCCACTTATATGTCTTGACTGTGGAAAGACCTTCAGATACAGCTCCCACTTAGTTAACCACCTGAGAATCCACACAGGAGAGAAACCCTATCATTGCACAGACTGTGGGAAGAACTTCATTCAGAGTTCAGCCCTCCGCAGACACCAGCGGAGCCACACAGGTGACAGACCCTATCAATGTTCCGACTGTGGGAAAAGCTTTAGTCGGAATTCGCACCTTGCAAAACACCGAGGGATCCACACGGGATTGAAGCCTCACGAATGTCTTGACTGCGGGAAGAAATTTAGTGTCAAAATGAACCTCGTGATTCACCAGCGTATCCATACAGGGGAGAAGCCATATAGGTGTTTGGAGTGTGGGAAATGCTTTAGTCAGCGGCCCCATTTTATTATCCACCAAAGAATCCACACAGGAGAGAAACCTTATGAATGCCCTGACTGTGGGAAAAGCTTTCGTGTGAGTTCACACCTTGTCACACATCAAAAAATCCACTTGGAGAAGGCTTCTTTTATATGCCCTGATTGTGGGAAAAGCTTTAATGGTAGCAAAGAGTTTGTTAAACATAAGAGGTTCCACACCACTGGAGAAATCCATCCGCTGTCCATTGCAGGAGTAACCATTAAGAGTGAACTATCCCCTCCTTATTCTCTTGATCCAGAATGCAGTAGCTATAGCCACAACACTGATTATTGAGCCCCTCACTGTGTTTGGTGATAACAGAGAAGGGAAGGCTCTGTGTTAGCTTTCTTTTGTGGCTACAAGTTCCTGTATCTTGAGATGAAATGAAAGAGGCTGGCAGGAGAAATTCCATTCAGATTTCAAACCTTATGTTATAGTTGAAAGCCAGATATAGTGGACAAAGACTTGTATTTGGTCTGGAAACCTGCTTTCTTATTTCCTTCTTAGCTGTGAGGATGAAATGGAAAACAAGGGTATACTAATCTGATTTCAGTGGAAGTTGAACAGGAGGAAGGGAATCTGTCTAATCCAGTGGTAAGTTTGCACTGCAATCCACTGCAGGTTGTTGAAACCCCCCCCCCAAATTTTAAAAACGGATAGAAGTCTACCTCCAGTTTTTTCAAAACATTTTTCAGTAAGGGCAGGCCTTGCTTTAGAAGAAATTTGCCAGTTGTGGAATTGCCAGGCATGGCAATTTTAAGTCCAGGGACCACTGGAAGGTCCAAAAATTAGATGCTGTTGGCTTGGGCATGTCATGAGAATGGCTGATGATCGGATTCCAAAAGATCTCGTGTATGGAGAATTAGTGCAGGGAAATCGCCTCAGAGGGAGACCACAGCTGCGATACAAGGACATCTGCAAGCGGGATCTGAAGGCCTTAGGAATGGACCTTAACAGATGGAAAACCTTAACATCTGAGCGTTCAGCCTGGAGGCAGGTGGTGCATCATGGCCTCTCCCCATTTGAAGAGACCTTTTCCAGCAGGCTGAGGCAAAGGGGAAGTCACAAAAGCAGAAAAATCAGGGAGCTGGACGGGACAGATTGTATTTGTCTTCAGTGTGGAAGGGATTGCCACTCTCAAATTGGCCTCCTCAGCCACACTAGATGCTGTTCCAAGTCCTCCATACAGGGCACGTTACCATAGTCTTTCAAGACTGAGGGATGCCTAATGGAATGGAATATTCCTAGGTGGTCCAAGTGAGGCCAGATCATCAGCTACCAGGATAGAGTTGGTCAGTTCATACAAAATGGCCATTTGTATGTTGTCCTTACTTACAAACTGATGGAAGTTAGAGATGAATATTTGGAATGTTCTCTGATGCACAAAGACATTTTGTGGCCTCAGGCAAGGGACAAGATGTCACCTGCCCTCAATTATAGTTTCATTGGATTGACAGTTTATTCTCAATTAAACACTGGTGACAGGATAGCAAAGTGTCCGCACTTAGCTTAGGGGCTTGAGGGAAGAGACTGGACACCTCTTTAACCAGAAATGTTTTATCAAAAAGAGGTGTTCCTTCCAAAACATTGAAGGAAATTGTACCCCAAGGTGGAAATAAGTGTGAATAAAGGACTTCAGATATTTTGGAGTAGATTTGTGGTGGTGGGCAATATGTCGGTGGGGCAGATGAGGAAAGGAAAAAATCCATTACACCGGAGGACTTCATTGAATTGCACCAAGCTGAAAATACCTCTGCACTCCTTCGTTCCATATTTGCCTCTCATCTTTTAAAATATTTAAAAGATCATGACTAAATAAATTTTGTAATATTTTATGTGATCTACATTATCTTACCTATTTATCAACCCTAGACCCAAGAAAATGGATTTGTAATTTTAACAGGAATATGTCAACACAAAAATGAGAGCTGGGCCCACAAATACTCTGAGTTTATCAAATGTTATTCTTTAAGTGAATGTAAAGTGTGGGGGAGATCATGTTAGAATTTATTAGTACTCCATACAAGAGCATTCCACCAGCAATGTTAGATCAGCTGCCCTAGACACTGACTGGGAATGATGGGAGTTTAAGTCCAACATCCCTGGAGGATCATCTTCCACTTTGCTTCCTGGCATTTGAATGTCTTTGTTTTTCATCAAGTCTTTGATTTTACTATTGCTTAGATCAATCCCTGGAGGATCATCTTCCACTTTGCTTGTATTTCCCTGGCATTTGAATGTCTTTGTTTTTCACCAAGTCTTTGATTTTACTATTGCTTAGATTACTCCTCACTGGCTCTAGCTCGCTAAAGTTTTAAAACTTTTTAAATAGTATTACAAAGGTTAAGAACCACTGGCTTAGATTACTCTTCACTGGCTCTAGCTCGCTTAAGTTTTAAAACTTTTTAAATAGTATTGTGTGGTTGATTTTGTGTATTTACTAGTTCTTAATATTCACAATATCCTTTTGAGTGCTGCTTTAAGTCTCCCCACTGGAGTGAAAAAGTGGGTTGTAAATTTTATCAATAAATAAATTTTATTTTTAAAATTGTCCAGTTATTTCAGATATGCTTAAAGACCTCTTTTCCCAGTCCTTCCTCCATCTTGAAATGAGGGATAGATGACTTCAGTACTAAAACTTAAAAGAGGTACCTAAGCCAGTTCACACAGATACATTTCTTAAATTGTAATTTCAAGAGACCACAGCTGCGATACAAGGATATCTGCAAGCGGGATCTGAAGGCCTTAGGAATGGACCTCAACAGATAGGAAACCTTGACATCTGAGCGTTCAGCCTGGAGGCAGGCATTGCATCACAGCCTCTCCCAATTTGAAGAGACCGTTGTCCAACAGGCCGAGGCAAAGAGGCAGTCACGAAAAGCAGCAAACCCAGGAAGCTGGACAGGGGACAGATTGTATTTGCCTTCAATGTGGAAGAGATTGTCACTCTCGAATTGGCCTTCTCAGCCACACTAGGCGCTGTTCCAAGACCTCCATACAGAGCACATTACCATAGTCTCTCGAGACTGAAGGATGCCTAATCTAATCTAATTTATAATATATTTTGTGACAAAACATGGGTAGGAAAGATATGGGTAGGAAATTGAAGGACCTGCAGGTACAGGTCATTTTATCTCTCCTCCCTGTTGAAGGATGTGGCCCATAGAGAGAAAAATAACGGAGGTGAATACCTGGCTTCGCAGATGGTACTGCCAGGACCACTTTGGTTTCTTCTACCATGGTTTGCATTTCCATATGGATGGTCTGCTGGGAAGGGATGGGGTGCACCTTACTACTGCATGAAGGAATGTTTTTGCTAACAGGCTCACTAATCTGATGAGGAGGGCTTTAAACTGAGCTCTCAAAAAGGATGTGAGGAGGGCTTTAAACTGAGCTCTCAAAAGGAGGGTGACCATTTTCTTGAGGACGGGAACCCAGAAAGGGCTGTGGCGAATAGCCAAAATGTTGTAGAAAGAGTAGAGCAAGTAGTATGGCAGCCCAACAGTGGGAGGAAAACTTTAGTAAAGGGTTTATTAGTAAAGGGCTTGCAGGAAGAACACATACACTGTGTTCTCTACACTGATGCACAGAAACAAACAAGATGAGCTGGGACTCTAATACAGCAAAATAACTATGACATAATGGGTGTAACTGAAACCTGGTGGTATGAGACTCATGACTGGAATGTAGTTATTGGAGGGTATAACCTATTTCAGAGAAATAGACCTAGTAAAAGAGGAGGAGGAGCTTTATATTGTAAGAGTGCCTATATTGGTGAAGAAATCCAGTGTATAAATCTAGGAAGCCAGGTTGAGAGCATCTGGGTAAGAATTAAGGGGGAGAAAAATGTGAGGGATGTCATTGTGGGAGTATACTACAGACCCCCACCCCAAGCCAGTCTGAGGAGTTGGATGGAGCCTTCCTGGAGTAGATGGCCACATATTCAAAAGGGAAAAATGCAGCAGTAATGGGAGAGTTCAACTATCCCGATATAGGTTGGCAGTCCAACAGGGAGGACGTTGTTAATGAGGTTGAAATGGTGGGAGCCTCAGGTGGGAGTGACCATGCTCTTTTGGAATTTGTTATATAGTGGGAAGGGGATGCCAAGTGTAATCACATGCGCATTGTAGACTTCAAGAAAGCCATTTTTTTTTTAAATTTAGTGAATTATTGGCTGAAATTCCGTGGACAGAGGCACTGAAGGAAAGGGGAGTGCAGGATGGATGGGAATTTTTTAGAACTGAGATACTAAAGGCTGTGCCAACAAGATGGGAATTTTTTTAGAACTGAGATACTAAAAGCTGTGCCAACAAGAAGGAAGAATGGGAGGTGTCTAAAGAAACCAGAATGGTTGACTAAAAGAACTTTTAACTCAGCTAAGTGTTAAAAAATGTACAAGAAATGGAAAAACAGGGAAAGCACGAAAGAGGAATACAAGCAAATATCCAATACATGTAGGGGGATGGTAAGAAAAGCTAAAGCACAGCACGAACATAGGCTTGCTAGAGAGATTAAAGATAATTAAAAGGGACTTTTTAGTTATGTCAGTAGTAAAAGAAAAAAGAAGGAAACGATAGGGTCTCTGTGTGGAGATGATGGCCAGTTACCAAAAGGGGACAGGAAAAAGGCAGAACTACTCAACACCTTACAATCGTTAAGCAAGGCACCACTGTAGTGCTCAACCTGAGGGATGAAGAGCAGGTGAAATAGTGTGGGAAATGCAGCACAGAATAGACAGAGTAGTAGTACAGGATTACCTGGCTACCTTGAATAAATTTAAGTCTCCTGGGCCAGACAAATTGCATCCAAGGATATTAAAAGAACTGGCAAAAGTTAATATCAGAACCATTGGCAATAATCTTGGAGAATTCTTGGAGAACGGGAAATCCCCACAGATTGAAGGAGGGCAAATAATTATCGCCAAGGTCAGTTTGACATCAATTCTCGGAAAGATTCTAGAGAATATCATTAAGCAGTTTGTAATTGCTTAGAAAGCAGTAACATCATTACTAGAAGTCAACACGGGTATCTCAAAAACAAGTCATGCCAGGCTAATTTGATCTCTTTTTTTCGTAGAGTTACAGGCCTGGTGGATGTCCTCAGTGGTCTTTTCCAACTTTATGACTCTATATATGCATGGATTACATTGGCTTTAATTAAAAATGAAAACTCTTATATTACAGAATATATCTTCAAAATTTAATTTAGTAAATTGCCTACAATCAAGTAAACAGAAAGAGTGATTATTTTATAGGTACAGTACTAGAAGAATATTTTTTTAGGGTAAGGAAAATGTTTGTATAATTTGCAAAGTCGGTCCCTCTCTCTAGCTGTTGCTGGATTGTAATGTCTATCAGCCCTAGCCAGCACACCGATGGTGAGAGATCACTAGCAGGGTTGTGGAATAACATCTGGCGTGCAACACAGTCATCAACCCTGGTATAAGCTTTTGTAGATTACCATTTACATGAACATGTCCTGTATGTTGCTCCCTTATTTCATGTGTCCATATGTATTTACCATTAAGGTTCGCCAAGGACTCCTGAAGATAAATGTCATAATTAGTAGCATATACAGTATTTGGCTTTGTTCCTCCCTGCATCCTGAGCAGTCTGTATCACAGTGGGCTACATAAATGTAATATACAGTTGGGCTGTGCAAGTGTTGAATCAGAATCAGATATGTGCGGGCAACAGTGAGGCATCCTTCAGTCTCAAAAGACTATGGTAAGGTGCTCTGGACGACTTGGAACAGCGTCTAGTGTGGCTGAGAAGGCCAATTCGAGAGCGCCAATCCCTTCGACACTGATGACAAATCCAATCTGACCCCTGTCCAGCTCCCTGATTTTGCAGCTTTTGTGACTTCCTCTTTGCCTCAGCCTGCTGGACAAGGGTCTCTTCAAATTGGGAAAGGATGTGATGCACCGCCTGCCTCTAGGCTGAACGCTCAGATGTCAAGGTTTCCCATCTGTTGAGGTCCATTCCTAAGGCCTTCAGATCCCGCTTGCAGATATCCTTGTATCACAGCTGTGGTCTCCCTCTGGGGCGATTTCCCTGCACTAATTCTCCATACAGATCTTTTGGTATCCGACCATCTCACGACGTACCCAAACCAATGCAGATGTCGCTGTTTCTGTAATGTATACATGCTAAAAATTTCAGCTCGTTCTAGGACTACTCTATCAGCACCATGAAAAGCACATAATCCACTAAAGTAGCGGTCCCCAAACCCCAGCGTGTGGCCCTGTGCTGGTCCATGGGCTTCCTTGAACTGGGCCGCGGATACGGATCTCCGCCCCTCCCCGAACGGTGGGTGTGTCATGCTTGCAGAGGGGCGTGTCGCACTCGTAAGGTTTTTAGTCCTCAAAACTGCAGGGTTTAAGAAATAAAATTTGAAAGGAGAGGGATGTGATCAAGAGGGCAGTGGCTGCGGGTGGTCATTTCCCTTTGCACATTCAGAGCTTGGGAAAGTTACTTTTGGGGGATTCAAATTCCTAGAATCTTTCGAGCCACCATGACTGGTAGCTGTGCAGGCTGGGTGATTGTGGACACTGGGGCCCGGCAAAGTAACTTTCCAAAACTCTGTACACAGAAAAGTCACCATCGACTGCAGACAGAGATATGAAATTCTGAAGAGTCACATCATCCTTCACATCTGGGTAACACCGGAGGTTCCCCTTTGAAGGGCAGCTGTACCTCATGAACAAACATGAAGAACTGTTCTACGCTCAATATTGTGGTGCTTTCCTCTATAGCAGTGGCTTCCAACCTTGGGTCCCCAGATGATACCGGACCAAAACTCCCATAAACCTACACCACTAGCTGTGCTGACCAGGATTTCTGGGAGTTGAAGTCCAAGAACATCTGGGGACCCAAGGTTAGGAAACCTGCTCTGTCACTTTGCCTGACAGTGATTGCCCCACACATGGCTGTACTCAACTGATACAGCTCTGAAATCTCACATGGATTACTTAAACTTCATGGAGGAAAACATCTCTCCTTTCCTGCTGCCAATTATTCCACTTCTTTATTCCTCTGTCCTATTGTAATATTTTGAAAAAACTTGCACAGATGCAATAAAAGCAAGTAATGCAAAAGAAACATATACAGATAAACTTTATTTATACTTTTTTTAGAAGTAAAGAGTTGGGTTCGCTTGGTGGAGAATTTGAACTTGCTACAACTTACCCATCCCTCTGCTCTCTTTATAGGAAAAACAATATATTCATCCAGATCAGAGCTTGGAACATTACTTTTAAAAGCTTAATTTGTTCTGTTAAGTGAGCTCAAAATGTAAATAATTTTTGTTGCTGTCAGCTGATAAAAAGTTGCTAATTATTCACTACTTTCTTACATACTTCATGACCAAACTAAGGAACCTACAGCCTATACATTTACCCAGATTTTAGTAAATTTTAAGGGTACAATCCTATACTCACCTGGAAATAACAGCCATTGAATTCAATGGTACTTACTTCTGAATAAGTGGATACAGGATGGAGAGAATCAGAGTCACTTCAAGAGAGGCTTCTCTGTAGAACTTTTAAAAAAACCTCTTGCAAAAAATATGCTAGACACCATATACGTTTCAGAGCCAGGATAATGCCCCGAGAACACCAGTCATTATCAATCAATGGGTAACCTAACAACTAACAAGTCAAAACATGAATAATATGCTGCAAACAAAATGAGTATGCTACTTATGCAAGATCCGTATCTGTGGTCATTTATGCCTGTTGATGCAAATATACATACACATACACATATATATGAGTTAACCTTTTTAAAAAAACAATCTTTCCAAGTGCCGATCAGGATCCCGCAACAATGTTCTATACTAGACACAGGACATGGGTCCTTGCTACTCTATTATTCACTCCTACATTGGTCATTCATAAAACACTGCTGATGCTCTACTATAGCGCTCATAAATATGCAACTCATCTTTACGAACTGTTCTGGGAGCTAGTGACCGCTTCATTACCTCCCATTTCTGATTCAGAACATTTAAAAGATGTGTCTCTTTCATGGATCTTCCGGTGCTTCGCAAGATTTGAACTGACACTAAAACCCCTCCCACATTCAGGGCATTCATACGGTTTCTCTCCCGAGTGCACTCTCTGGTGAGTGATCAGGTGCGAGTTGTTGCGGAAGGTCTTTCCACACTTGAGACACGCGTACGGTTTTTCCCCTGTGTGGACTCTCTGGTGGCCCACCAGTACTGAGCTGTAAGAGAAGCTTTTCCCACACTCAGGACACTTATATGGTTTTTCCCCTGTGTGAATTCTCTGATGCGTAACAAGGTGTGAGTTTGTATTGAATTTCTTGCCACAGTCATTGCATTGATAAGGTTTCTCTCCCGTGTGAATTCTCTGGTGAATAATGAGGTCTGCACTCCGACAGAAGTTTTTACCACATTCCAGGCAGAGATACGGTTTCTCCGTCATGTGGACTCTTTGATGACTAAGCAGACCGGATTTAACACTAAAAGTTTCTGGACAGTCAGGTCATTTATACGGTTTCTCTCCTGTGTGAGTCCTCTGGTGCATAACAAGGGTGGAACGTCTTCCAAAGCTTTTCCAGCAATCCTGGCATTTATAGGGTTTCTCGCCGGTGTGGATTCTCTGATGCGTAACGAGAGTTGAACTCCGACTGAAGCTATTGCCACAGTCAAAGCATTTATAGGGCCGCTCTCCCGTGTGGGTCCTTTGATGCATAATAAGGTTTGAGCTGCGGCTGAAGGTCTTTCCACAGTCACCGCATTTGAAAGGGGGTTCCTTGGAGTGAGTCCTCTGGTGCCTAGTGAAGTTTAAGATCTGATTGAAGCTCCTCTCACAGTGAGAACAGTAATAGGGCTTCTCTCTTGTATGGCTTTTCTCGTGTGCAATGAGATGGGTGCTCTGTACAAAGCCTTTCCCACACTTAGTACAGGTAAAGGGTCTGTCTCCTGAATGGAGTTTCTGATGCCGGACAAGATCTGAACGCCGGCAAAATTTCTTCCCACAGTCTGGACATGTATGCTTTTTCTTCAGCATATGTTCTCCCGTCATCTTACTTAGCTGCAGAGCATGTTTCGAGTGGGGAGTATGCCTAGCCTTCTGTTCCTCTAAGAGGCCTTCCTGACTAAGGTCCTCCTTTTTTATCAACATTTGATCCTTGGTCAACATTTAATCAACAGCTGAAAAAACAAGACAAGAGAAAAAGAACAAACGTGTTAGACATTAAACTGTTTCAAGAGTCATAACAATGCAATGTGTTCAATTCCGCAGATGCACAAAGTTTTCATAACATTCATTATTCTGATCACCCTGAGGGTCATTTCTTCCTTTATAAATCAGAAAAAGAATTTTAAAGCTACCCTTTGGTCTGGACATTCACAAATAACCTGACAAACACACTTCTTCAAATATCAGCTTGCACTGTTTTAGAGATGTTAAGAAAAATCACAGAGCGGAAGATCACCACTGTAAGATCCAACGAAACTGAACAGTCACTGTATGTTCATCCTCGCAGTTTTAAGAAATTCAAGAGGCTGGAGTACTGAAGTGAACAGACGGGTGGGCCAGCAAGACTGGGGGGGACCAGTTTAGGACCAGCCAAGACTCCCACTCTAAAATTAGATGCATTGAGGAGACTATACAACTCAGGGATGCCTCTTTCATCATGGGCTTCCACCTTTTGAGGCCAGCATACAGTTAAACTGGCTAGACCTCAAACTTTGCAAAACAATAGAGAAGGCCCTCGCCTGTGACCCCACCAAATGTACTTGTGAAGGGGAGGGATGGAGAGAAAGGCCCTTCATATGTCAACATGTCTTTCTTCTTTGTGGTTTATCTTTCATTTTCCTCCCCATCTTTGATTATTTAATGAAATTTCTTCTTTTTGTTATTATTATTATTTTATCATTGTATCATGATTTTGTAAGCCGCCTAGAGTAGTCATAATGACCAAATAGGTGTGATATAAATAAATAAATGAATGAATGAATGAATGAATGAATGAATGAATGAATGAATGAATGAATAAATAAATAAATAAATAAATAAATAAAAAACACCCAAGCAG